CACAGTCATGGAGCAGCTATGTGAGAACCGCTCTCTGGTGGTATTTGTTTCAGGAAATTCTGCAGGATCTTTCCAGTCTCATGAAAGAAAAAGAAAAATGCCATGACTTAGATCTTGGCTCAATTCGCATGGCTTTCCCTATCTTGCCCACAGCACACTGACAAACACCACATCTGTCCCAACAAGCCAGTTCACAGATCGCCATCCATTCATAACTTCGGCCTGCCAAGAGAACCCTCATCCGTTCCTTCTTGTGAACAAGAATGCACCATTTGGCTCTGAGAAGCAGGCTGAAGTGACCGCAGGCCTGGTGACCTCTCAAATCACTCCACCTGATAACAACAACACAAAATAATTGGCTAGTTTTTCTTGGTGGATTTTGACAGCACAGAGATATTTACTGTTGCCAAAATGTAAGTGGGAGTATTCTGGGAAGTGCAATTTAATTTTCAAGTTTTGGACTGGTTTCATTGTTGGTAATTTCAGTGCTTCTTAGACCAAGTTTATCACCGATTATTCTGTCTGCACCAGATGTGGTAGAACTTTGTCTTTTTTCCATTTGGGGATTTTTTGTTTTTAGAGGGCCATCCATAGTTCATCCACCAGTTCAATCTCATTTTCACTTCTGCTTTGACATCTTCATGATCATACTGGAATCGTTCCTACTTGATTTATAATGGATTTCTGTAATTAAGCAGCTAGCTCAGAAAGTCCTAAAAAGTGTAGCCGGTGTTCTCTGACCCTAGGCCAGAAGAGGAAAAGAGGAATCCCAGACAAAGGCCATTCGACTGCAGAGGAGGATTCATTGAAGGAACTATGCCCTGGGACGTTGCTTGGGATTCTATTGGCCTATCTTTTCATGTCTAAGTTCATCCGTTAGCATTTGAAGCTCTGGAAGTTGAGGACAGGGGCAGAGGAAGGCATGCTATTTGGCTCCTTCCTGGTCTGGAAGTGGTGGGGCAGAGCAGAAGCTGAATTATAGCTCCCCCTCCTCATGTTGACACCACAAATCCCCACCTTTAGAGATGTCTGAGGAAACGCTAGGTTGGTCATATCTTTCACCATCTTGTTTATATCTGAGACATCTTAAAATACAAATACAAACAAACAAACAAACAAACAAACAAACAGAAAACCTTGCTGATTTAAAGTGCCCAGTCTTACACCTCTTCATCATATCAATAGGTTCTTAATTTATTAACTGAAGTCCCTAGACAGGCCTACAGGCACTGTGCCCTCACCAGCCACTTTTCTTCCTAGGAAACCTGTACTTTTTGTTTTGGTGGATAGTACTCTGTCTTAGAGGGGAACATATTCCAGAAGAATTCCACTGTCAGAAAACATCACCATCAGTAAGGACATGATGTGTGTAAGGCCAGATCTCATTTCACAAGTGTTCAAATTATGGAAACAGGGCCTTGAGTCAAACTCTAGTATTCTCTTTCCCAGTAACAGTTGAAGGAACGTTCTAAGAGCAGTTGAAACTCGCTGTGAGGTCGTGGTAGCACCCGGTTATGCAGTTGTTTTTGCTGAAAGAGAGATGCTGTGGATGCTTGAATGAAGAGCTAGGGAGGATTTCCCAGGAGCTAACTTACCATGAAGCTCACGGGGACTTTTACAAAGATATATTTATTTTGTGTGTATGAGCATGTCCGAATGTACATATATGCACCCTGGGCTTGTAGTGCTGAGAAGTAAAGGCCTGTATTAGTCTGTGAGTTCAAGGACAGCCAGGGCTACACAGTGAAATCCTATCTTAAAACAAAACAAACAACAGCAAGTCCTGTAAATGGGCAGTGGGAGAGGTTTAGAAAATTGTGGTAATACTGGAAAAGCCTAGATTACTTTGAAGAGACTGTTGATAGGAATATGGACATTTAAGGTTGATTCTAGGGCTGGCAAGATGGCTCAGTGGGTAAAGGCCTATGTGGCTGATCCTAATGACCTGGGTTTGACTCCTGGAACATTCTTGATGGGAGACAATGAACTCCCACACATACAAACACACACATAAATGTAATAAAATAATAATAATTAATGTATACACATACATTTTATAGACACATATATGTCTATAATAAAAGGTGATTCTGCCAAATTCTTAGATAGAATCTCTTCTTGGAGGCCAGAAGAGAGTATAGAATCCTCTGAACTGAAGATACAGATTTGAGCCATCACATAAATGCTGGAAACTGAATCCAGGTCCTCTGCAAGAGTAGCCAGTGCTCTTACCTACCAAGCAGTCTCTTCCATCTGGAATGAGAATATTAAATGGCATTTAATTATGCTCAATGAATTCCACACATTATTCCAGGATGGTTTCTAAACTAGGTGTGCTAGGAGCTCTTGACCTCCTTGCCCAGACGCAGGTTTCTGGAACCCTTTTTTCAACTGCGAATGATAACTGGGAGGGGCCAGAGACAAAGATTTGGTCATTTGCATTCATAACAAACACCAGAGGGGACTCTTGAGCATTAGAAAAATTCGGAAACTACTAGGCCAACTCTTTTCCACTGAGAACCCAGAAAGGCCTTTTGCTAAACCTCACTGTCCCTCAAGATCATCCAGCAAGGTAGGTAGAAGAAAAAGTCTTCTTTTGTAAGTTGTAGATTTGTTTCATTGCCTCCTGTCTTGCCAGGCCTAGGCTAAAGAAGCCTCCAGATCCCTCATAATTTACATCACAGTCTTTGCTTATTTTATAAAGCGTTCATGCTAAACATTCCAGCTCCACCTTATAGTCTGTGTAACTCTCATTCCCATTTCTCAATTTATGAGTACCCATAACAGTATTAATCTCTAAGACTATGAAAGACTCGGAGCATCACAGTTAACCAGAACTTTATCAACTGGGGAAAAAAAAATGTGCATCTTATCACCACTTATCCAATCACATATAAGTTGAATATTGGTTATTTTAGCAGTGAGACCTTCTTTCTGTGGCCAGAGAAGTTCCCATTGACTTCTTTATAGTCTCACAGAGTTTGTGATTTTCCTGTCTGTAGTATTGGCTTCCAATAGAGATCCCTTTCCTGTGGCCGTGCTTAAAAACAAAAGCAAACAAAAAACGACAGACCAGGACAAAAAGAAAAGGGAAAAGGAAGAATATTAATATTGCAACTTCATAGTGGAATAAGAGCAAACCAAAAGTGCATACTTAAGGATTCAAGAATGGTGCTCCCCTTCCCTCATCCTCACGTGTGACCCTGTGGTCTAGGTGACTTTGGGCAATGTGAGCCACCTGAATTCAGTGGGCAGAATGGTATCTCTTCTGTATCAGAGCATGTACTGGCCTGAAGAAGGTGCTGTTTCCCAGGAAAAGGACTTAGGTTCCCCCCAAGTAATGCATAGGGCCTTCACGCAGAGGAGCAGGCGATGCTGAGCAAGCAGCTTGCCTTGCCCATCTCTGATTATATTCCTTAAGATTTTTATTTAGGATAACTTTCAGCACGGCTTTGTAAAGGTCAGACATGAAAGAGAAAACTCCCTCTAGCTAATCTTGTGACAAACAGTTTATACGCAGGGTGAGGGATACTCTCCCTATCTGACTGTGGAGAAACTCTAAAAGTAAACGGCGCAGTCGCTTGGTGGGGTGAACATATGGGCGCAGATGTGATCTGGAAGCGGCATATGGTAGCAACGTGACAGGAGCATGTGCGGTGAAAGGGTCATCGGTAGCCTTCATCTTCCTGCCGCACTGGCCGGCCGAGCCGAGCCCCAATTCCGAACCGAAGACTGTTCTGTCCTGAAAGCCGAGTCCGCACATGTGTGGACATCTGTCACCGGGGTCTTGTTAGCGGGGAGAATGTGGAAGATGGTCAGTTACAAAGCGTGGGAGGCGTGCTGCGGTCTACAGTGCCGCAGTGAGAGGTACTCGTGTGGAGGAGTCCGCGAGGCCTTTGTCAAAAGACGGTTCAAGTCGGGGCTGAAGGGTGTGGGTTACTTCCAGAAGACACACCCATGCAGGCATGCAAACAGAATGAGTTAGTGCTAGAGACAATTGTATTCGTGCTAGGCCAGGACGTAGGCTTCTGTCCTCACCCAAACCGGATAACAAATAGGGCTCCATCAGTTGAGTGCCTTTTATCTACCAGTCTTTGAAATCCAGCATCTTGGCCGGGAGTGGAAGGGAGTTGGTGTCATTTTGTACATTCAGAAACATGAGCATGGGTAAATTCACGGGAAAACAACAGGCTTTAATCTGCATCTCCTCATGCAAAAATCCTGTTGGTGAGAGGCAAGTTGCTGCTTCCAACCCTTAGCAATGTTTTCTCTTTTCTTTGACATTCATGTACACACCTGTGGGTTTTTTTTTTGTTTTGTTTTGTTTTTTGTTTTCAGTGTATTTTGTCTCTGAGAATAAGGTGGCAACATTTAAATCTGATTAGTGTTCTGTTACAAGTAAAAACTTCAGACTGTCAGAATAGCCTAGTAGCCTACCTCCAAGAAAGACGGGTTTAATCTCTTTCAAAATCTCTTTTGAAACAGCTCCGAACCAATAGGCTCTGGGGTTTTTGACTCATATGTGAAAGGGTTTTCATATGTGAGTAAACTGTAGGACAGGTGGTTTGTAAGAAGAGTGGGATTTAGGCGAGCTGAGCAAAAGCTCAAGCTTTGGGCTTTACAGTAGGCTCTCTTTTGTCCAAGAGGGTCAAGACCATCCGTATTCATCTTTAGTATGATTCAGAGTATTACTTTTCCCCAGTTCCGTATATAAATTATAAACTCTTGTTTTACTACTACAGCATGTTAAAAGGGACAATTGCATTGAACAGCGTGGGCTCCTGGGTATGGCATAGCAGGAGACTAGAAATCTGGGTGGGGGCAGAGAGTTTGATGCCTAATGTCCTGCCTGGGTATCAGATGCCTGCTATTTTGAGGGGCGGTGAGGGGGGATGGTAAGACTAGCCAACAAGTCCCTTTTCTACTTGGAATCTTAGTATAGTTCTGGGCTGGGCATGTCTTCAGTAAAATAGCTAATGACTGCTTTTTAAAACTCCTAGCTGTCTGCCCAGTTGTTACAACACCCTCTGGCTCAGTGGGCAGCTTTTGCTCCAGACAGTCCCAGGTGCTCTGTGGGTACCTTGGTGAGTATACTTGTCTGCTTTATTCCTCCTTTGACATGGTGATATCAAGTCTTTTCTATCTGTCTCCAGTGGGGAACCGGTCTGAGGGGAGACAGGGTTTTGAAAACTAGCTTGTTAGGTGAGCGTCACGAAAGTGCCTGCAATTTTCTAGTCAGTTTCATGAGAGGGTCTGACGACTCGCTTGGAAGGGACACGCTGCCCTTATGCAGGAGTGACTGCGTGTCATGAGCTGTTTGTGCCAGGGATCACAGACGGATTTAAAGTATCGATCCTTTGATCCCCACAGAGGCCGCTTTCTGGAGGGCCCTAGAGTAAGGCCTGAATGTTAATGAGGGGTGGGGGGGGGGGGAGGGAAGGGTTGTCCTTTTTGCTGAGTTTGTGTATGCTTCCATTTTTGACACACAGTAGTTGATTTATTAATGCTTCTTGTACAGAACCAAAGTGAAGGGAGATTCCCCTCCCCCACACCACTCCCTTCCTTTTAAAGTGATGGAGGGAGGCTCCTGGGAGAGCTGTGTTGATGCTGTCATCTCTGTCCTGCTGTTGACATGTCTGAGTTGCATGAGAAAATGGATTGTCATAGGAGGTTAGGCCCTCAGCTAGCTGAGCCTGGGACCCTGTAAGGCCCTCAGCAACACCTGTTAGAATGACGGCCACCAGAACAACAGATCTCTACTACTTTCTGTGTGGAACATCAGCCGACTCCATCAGCCTTGACTTTGTTCTGGGCAATGAAGCCACAGAAAGTAAGATTTGAGCAAGCGAACACTCAAGGAATTCAGTGGCTGGGTTGTCCCTGAGCCATGCTCAGGGAGAAAAGAGACAGACCAAGTTAGTTAGGACCAAGTGTATGTGAAGATCCTGCATTGGTTTTCCTGCTCTGGCAGAAGCCTAGTTCTTTGGATATTCTGTTTTACAACTCACCATGCCTGGCCTCGCTTCGTAGGAACTCTGTTACTTAGTGTGGCCAAAGCTGGGGCTTTCTAGTACAAAGCAAAACAATAGCCTCAGTTTTGTTAAAAGTGTATGTTGATCATTTTATTTTGGTGTAGAAGGGCTCCCAGTGGCTGGAGAGAGCAATGGGGATAAGAATAGTGAAATGTTTGATCTGTGCTGAGATAGCTTTTGTGTGAGACAGATTACATTTGTTTTTTAAGTTCTGAATTTTTTATTTTATTCCACTCTATAAACCAAAGAATTAAATGCGTTTTTTTTTTTTTTTTTTTTTTTTTTTTTGCCATTCACCGACTGGTATTTGGGGCAAAAAATGAAAGCAAATGAGTAAAGACAAACCTTCGTGAAATCCCCTCTACATCCTGTAACCCAGGTCACACCATTCTTTCTCTGGACTTGGGTTAGTGACACAAAGCCACGGGACAGTCTTCCCCACCCCATCTCCAACCCCCACCTCCTTTTATTTCCTCCTTCAGGAAATTGTGGTTTGGAGGAGTGAGTCCCTTGTCCTTGTCCCAGAACTGGCTGGTAGTGGGGCTGACATTGGAATTCAGGTGTGACCTGGCTGTTTTCCACCCTCCACACAGGCTCCAAACTCACTTCTTGCTTTTGCTCTGCTCCGGGAACCCAGGTGCATTCATTTTGTAAGTCACCCACCTTAGGTGAGTTTCCTCTTCCTCTCCTGCTCAGGAAGCAGGCTGAGAGTCCTAGCTAACAAACAGGCTAAGCCTGTTTCTGGTTCCTGGAGAAGCTTTTCTCCTTATATTCTCCTGTTGGATGGAGTTATTTTCAGTTAGTAACTGCCTAGAGCTTTCCTTTTCCTTTAGTGAATAAGACACATGAAACCCCAGCATTCCACAGGAAGCTGGAATTGTCCTGAATATCTCTGAGGGTGAAGGAAGGGGTTTATAAGGAAGGCCTTCTTAGGTTCCTCTGTACTGGGAGGCTTTTCTACCCAGCATGGTAGACCCCTCTCAGGTCTTCTAGGCAAGACCCCTTAACAGGGGGCCAGGAGATGGCTCAGTCAGTAAAGTACTTGTCATGTATTCAGGAGTTCCTGGGTTCAAGTCCCAGATCACATGTAAAAATGCCAGGTACAATTGCACACACATGTAATCCAGGGTGTTGGAGACAGGAGCATCCTCACTGGCCAGCCTATCTAACTTAATTAGTGAGCTCCAGGCCAATGAGAGACCCTGACTCAAAAAGAACTGGTCACGAGGATGGCACATGAGGTTTTCTTAGACACACACACACAGGGGATCAGGTTTCTGTGCAGTGCAGCTCTGCTTTTTTTTCTCTTTTCTTATTCTTAGCCCCCCCCCCCCCCCCCGTTCTTAGAAATAGTAACTGAGTAAAAATGCAGCTGAGTGTTTCCCAGGGGCGAGCACCCAGGGTGTAGGAGGGTTCCTCTCCATGCCTGTGATTTGAATACTCGTTGAGTGAACTCAGCCTGTGTCAAGCAGCTCCATCGCCATCACTGCCACACTGCTTGAACTGTGCCTCCATTCCCAGGGGATGCTGGGAGCAGCAAGCAGCAGTGGGGTGGGATGCTTCTTCCTTTCTTTGCCCCGTACCCTGAGTGCTGACATGTCCGTGTCTGACCCTCGTGACAGCAATGACCCTGAAAGATGAAGCAGCAGCGCTCTTCCCAGTCACAGACCGTGACCTCACAGAACATTTTCCCATTTTCGCTTTATCAGCCCCAATAATATAGAAAGGTGAAGTGTTTTATAATATGCTACCAGAGCTGGACTCCCGCAAAGCTGTCCACATTCAGGCTGCCTGGAGCCCAGGAAGACTATGATGCAGCTCAACACAAACTTACTTAAAACTTTATGAGATTTTTTTTTTTTGGTGGGGGGGGAGGAATTTTTAAAAATTCAGTTGTGCGGTTCCCAAGGGTGAACTTTGTAGATAGCAACATACTTTTGCAATTGTCAAAGGGTTAGATATACCTGTTTCTAGAGGTGGCTGGGTGTGGAGGGGCATGTCTGTCGTACCAGCACAACAAGGGAGAATCATGAACTTGTGGCCAGCCTGCGCTAGACCCTGTCTGAAAGAAGACAGCAGGAGGAGGGCAGAGGGTGGGGGAAGGAAAAGAAATGGAAGAAAAGGAGGGAGGGAGAAAGGGAGGAAGGAGGAGCTGGAATTTTAAACTTAGATGAGCAGTAGAATTAGCTGACAGTCTCTCTATGAATGCCTAGATTAACAGTCACAAAGTTGAACTCATTATTTAAAGATTTAGGACAGGCTTTTTAGTGTCTCCATTAATATTTAAAGACAGAGACTAGAGAGATAGGAAAAGGTTAAGAGCCCTTGCTGCTTTTGCAGAGGCCCCAGTTTGGTTTCCAGTAACCCCCTAGTAGCTCACAGCCATCAGTAATTAAAGTTCCAGAGCATCTGATAGCTACTTCTGGCCTCCATGGTACCAAACACAAACAGTGCGCAAACATACATGTAGGCAAAATGCTCATCCACATAGAGCAAAATAAATAAGTCTTAATAAACGAAGATTTAAAGGTGTCATTCAAAGCATAGCCTGTGTTTGTATATCCCAAGGCAGCAGCCTTGGGCCTGTCCCAGACCAGTGGAGTCAGAAGTACTCTGGGGGCAGCTGGGAGCTTGTATACTCTAAACAGACTGCAGGTGCTCCTGACATCACTGACATCTGCAGCTGTGAGAGCCAGTGGGCCCTCTGATGGTGCAGGTTTGTTTCCTCACAGCCACCCATGTGGAAGGCTTCAGATCCAGCAGGATCTGTTTGATCAGCTGGTGCTGCAGTGGAGGGCCTCTGAATGCACGGCCCAGCCAGGGTTTTCCCTATGTGCCTCCCGTTTTCCGAAGCACCTATAAACACTGAGGTAGAGCTGTTACCCATAGTATCACCCAAAGCCCCTGCTCCCTGTTCACCACAGAAACGGGCCATGAGTATAGGGAAGTGAATTGGACACATGGGGGTAGCGGATGCCCATCGTGGAATCAGGCAGGGGAGTGATCCCTTCATCCAAGGGCCTTCAACCAGGCAACGGGGGGGGGGGGGTGTTTCTCATGGAGATTGGATTTTTTTATTTTGTATGTGTGATGTTTTTGCCTGCATACATGCATGTACACCATATACATGGAGCGCCCGAGGAGGTCAGAAGAGGGCCTTGATTCTTGGAACTGGAGTTATGACAGTAGTGAGCTGCTCTTTGGTTGCTGGGAACCAAACCTGGCTCCTCCGAAAGAGCTCAAGCACTGTGAGTCACAGAGCCGCCTTGTCAGCCCCTGAAAGGGTGTTTAATGCATACGAGACAAATATGGATATAAACTTGTCTATAGATATAGACAAGTATAATTCTCCAGGGAGATGTTTGATCAAAACACTGACATTCTCGTTATGGCTTGAAGCCCAATCTGACACATTCCATGGGGTTAGGATCTAGCCGACAACAGAATGTAAACTCCTCTGTCTGACCAAGCTAAGCGTCTTCCAGAAACTGCAGTTTTTACTCTCCAAAAGATATTTTTTTTCCCTCAAAGGTATTAGAGCAGGTAGGAATAGGTATTAGAAAGTGTAGTTAATTATTTACCTTGTGTGACATTCTCCCTTCCAGGATTCTGAAGCCGTTTTTGAACCACCCAGTATTCTGAATATTATCCTATAGTAGGAATATTTTAGTACTCTTCTTACTTCTATTTGTGGTCATCATACTATTTAGAGAACTGCCCAGTTCTCCTCTCATGACTTACCACCCTACTGTGGTGTGAAAAGAATAGCAGAGATTTAAATTTACTCTACAACAAGGCTTTAGAAGAAAAATCTCTATATTAACAACAGGCAAAAAGAGAACCCTAAGGTAAACCTCTAATGCTATGGCAGTCTTGGAAAAGCAAACTAAAGAGGAGACTTCCTTATGAGATACTAATTTATTGAACAGTATTTATTGAGTGTTTGCTCTTATTGGGTACCAATGTAGCCATTGCCACTAAATGTCAATGTAAACCCTTGCCTGTAGACATCTTAATTCTGGTGATGGAAGGCAATCAGTTGTAAAGATTAA